CCCTTCCACACGTACCTACTATTCCAATTTTAATTCTTCCTTGTCTATCCTCTAACATTTCAGTTTCATTTGCTTTAACGATAGCGCTATCCTTTATTCTCCTTTTCCCTTTTACTAACCTCAATCTCTCACCCCCTCATTTTTCTTTTCCCTCACTCCCCTTCCCTCTTCTACCGCCATCTGCGATTCTTATTTTCTCTATGCCATTGCCATACAACTTCCTTCCCCTTTTTCCCTTCACGGCATCTTATCTTTTCTTCTTGCTTTTCTCTCCTTTTCCACATTCCTTCCACTCAACATCACCTTGCGTTTCGCTTTCCCATCTCTCTATACTTCCTCCTCTTTCCCTTTACTCTTCTTCACTCCCTTCCTTCCTATTCTCTTCCCAACACCTTAGCATCTATACCATCACCATATCTTCCAATAGTTGTTTTTCTTTTGCGCCTTTTTTCCCTTTTTCTATTGTGCTTCCTCCTCTTTCACTTGTTTCTTGCCCTTCATCTATATTTCTCCGTCTCCCCTTTCTATAGCCATCATTTATGCCTTTCATGCTACGAAACGCTTCATCTTTAAAGTTCTATTGCAGAAACACAGTTGAATCATTTCTTCTTTTAAAGTTTCCTGTTTGTGCTCTGGTACTCCTGATATTTTCAGAAGAGTACCGACGCGAATAATGCCTTTCGAACCATAAAACCCTCCGCCAAATGGATGTCTTTAAAGCTCCATTGCGAAAAACGCGGTTCGGTCCAATTTCTGCATGGCTTTGCTCTGGTCAGTAGTCATCCAACCCCAAAATATTCTGGTCTCGACACCTTTCAGTACTAAAACCAGTTATGGCTTTCGGGCCATGAAACGCTCTGCTTAAAGCGCGGATCAGTCCTCTATTCCTTTACAATTTCGAATTGTGCTGGCTTTGCTCTGGCTAGTAGTTATCCAGCCCCAGGATATCTGGTTCTCCTGGTTTCGACACGTATATAGTCGACTACTGAAGTCAGTTATGCCTTTTGGGCTATGAAACGCTCCGTCAAATAGATGTCTTTAAAGCTTCATTGTAAAAAGCGCGGATCAGGCTTTACAATTTCGAATTGTACTGGCTTTACTATGCTCACTAGTCACACAAGGCCAGGATGTTCTGGTTCCCCTGGTCTGGGCACCTTCCAGTAGAGTACAGAAGCCAGTTATGCCTTTTGGTCAGTAGTCTTCAAACTCCAAAACATTCTGGTTCTCCTGGCACCTTTCAATAGGGTTTTTCTCCGTCGTACTCTTTTTGCCCTTGGCGGTTACTTTTGCGAGAGTACGACACCTTTTGGCCTTGCTTACATTGAGGTACGTCAACTAAATTTCCGGGCTGTCACAATCTTAATAATAACGATCATTATTAAACAAACTTCTGATGTTCGATTCTTCTAGTCTCGGCACCGTCCACTAGAGTACAGAAGCCAGTTATGTCTTTCGGGCCATGAAACGCTCGGCGAAATTGACCTCTCTTGATTTAACCTTAATGCAGAATCACGTATTTGATATCGTTATTCTTTTGTTTGTAATAGTTTACGTTTTTGGTGTAATGTGGAAATTATCGAACTGTTTCGATATGCGTACGTTTTGTAAACTAACATTTTCGTCCTGAATGAAGCAGTCACGGGGGTGGAAAACACTGTAATCAAATGAGTTACGACACCTAATTTCGTGATTGTGTTCGACTTTCAACTGTAGGCTCGAAACCCCGAACGAGGGGCGAGTTATCTATCTTGAGGGCAAGATTATGCTAATAAAAACTCTTCGGTTTAGAATCTATGTGCGATAAATGAGTTGCGATTCGCTAATTTTCACATATCTTGCCGTTAGTTGAATTTGCCTACAATGCCATGCAATTTTCCATCTTGCTCCTAAAAAAAAGACTTTATTGCACCAAAGATGAGTCACATTCTGTATCTTTCAACCTTTCTCGTAACCAACTTGGTGTATACGCACTTACCATCTTAAAATTGACAAACACCAAAAGATGTCGTTGCCGAGCGAGCCTAAGGCCAGTTCAATTTCTATATAATCAAGCCAGACAGTTCGGGTATATGCAGCCCCGTTTGTGTCGAGCGCGCCGGTGCTGAAACCTTTCCGACCGAGCCAGAATTCCGTACAAGTCAGTAATGCTCCTGCTTGTCTTTCAGTCCTTAGTTTGTCTTTCTGTCGTATTCTTCTTCCTCTTCCTCTTCCCACTTTCTCTTACTATACAGTGCTATTTATTAAAAAGTAGACATAGCAATTTACGTGTAGTATTGTTTCCCCTATGTCTACTTTTAAATGACAAAATCTCTTCTGAAAGGCTCGTAATTTTATGCAACCAAAATGATCTGGCTGTCATTAATTAATTTGAATATCGATGCTGTGGCTTCCATATTTTTATTTTCGTTCGGCATAGGAAATTTATTTTCTGTGAAACCAGAGCAAGAATATTCAACTTAATTAATATGACAGCCAGATCTTTATTTGTTTTAGGAAGGTATTTTGGTTGCATACAATTAGGCGCCCTTCAGAAGTATTTTGTCATTTAAAAGTCGACATAGGGAAAAACCATACACATTAATCCTTATGTCTACTTCTTAATAAATAGCACTGTATATTTTCTTTTGTCGTCTGCTTCCACCTCCGTTGCTTGCATTTGCCGATTTTTTCTTATTTCCCTCCTCTGTTTCTTCTTTCTCTACTGATTATTACTTCTGCTCCTTTTCCTTTGCTCCCATCTTTTCGCATCCTGTTTTAAGTTCCTCTGTCTCGTTTACCTCCCAATGCTTCCTTTTAGTACCCTCTACTTAATGTTCCTCCTCTTATTCCTCTACTTGTGCTTGTTCTTCATTGAATTGTCTGTCATTCCCTTCCTCTTACTCTATCCGTGCTTTGGTTTATGCCATTGTGGATTCCGCTTCGCTCTTTCGAGTTTCTTTTTTCTCTCCTTCATCTTAAATTGCTTCCTCGTTCACTTTCTTCAGCAGCTTTTCCTCGGTATCCTTTTTTTCTCGCCCACAATTCATCAACTTCCGTCGATTCATCTTCCGCTTCGCTCTTTTCGACTTCTAAGTTCTATTTCCTTTCATTCATTTCTTCTGCTCCTCCATTACACTTCTCTTCCTCATTTTTCTTTCTTATTTCTCACCATCTACTTCTTTTTCCGTTTCTCTTCATATTTCTAATTTCCTCTTCATAATTCTATCCCTTTTCCTCTTAACCCTCCTCTCCATCCAACCTCCACCTGCAGGACACTTTCCCATCCTTTGTTTTCTCAGTCCACCCTTTCCTTCCCCTCACATTTCCACGACGCGTCGCCTTCAAAATTTTCCTTCCTCTTTCTCCTACGCGTTCTTTTGAATTTTTTTCTACGCCCTCCCTTTCTTATGTCCATGGTTCCACTTTATCTTTCTCTTCTTTCCCTAGGCACCTTTTTTTGCTGTCATTTCAATCTTCTCCTCTCCATTTTCTGAATTAGGTATCATTCTGTTCCCTTTAGTATTATTTTCTTTTTCATATTCCCATGTCCCGTCCTCCTCACTCCCATTATAATTCCTACTTTATTTTCCGTTTCCTTCGGCTTCCTCGCACTTACCTTTGCCATCTTCCTCTTCTCTGCCTTCCCCCTAGCCCCCTTTTCAGGTTTCTAATTTCACTCGCCATCTGTTATTCCCTTCCCCTTCTCTCTTTTTCCAAGGCCCTTAGCCTTCCCTTATCTTCTCCCCAATCACATTCGTGTCTACTCTTTCATTCTCTTCTCTTCCCCTTTTTGTTTGTTTCAATCTTTGTTTTTGAAATTGACTTAACCTTAATGCAGAATCACATAATTTATATCGTTCTTTTGTTTGTAATAGTTTACGTTTTTGGTGTAATGTGGATCGAATTGTTTCGATATGTGTACCGACTTGTTTGTAAACTAACATTTTCGCCGTGAATGAAGCAGTCACGGGGGTGAAAAAAACTGTAATCAAATGATTGTGTTCGACTTTCAACTGTAGGCTCGAAACCCCGAACGAGGGGCGAGTTATCTATCTTAGGGGAGAAATTATGCTAGTAAAAACTCTTCGGTTTAGAATCTGTGCGATAAATGAGTTGCGATTCGCTAATTTCCACATATCTTGCGTTAGTTGAATTTGCCTACAAGGCCATGCAATTTTCCATCTTGCTCTTAAAAAAAAAGACTTTATTGCACCAAAGACGAGTCACATTCTGTACCCTTCAACCTGTCTCGTAACCAACTTGGTGTATATGCATTTACCATCTTAAAATTGATAATTTTACACATTATTTTGTTAATTAACTTTTGGACTGTATTAAGCAAACTGCAAGGTTTTTCTCCGTCGTACTCTTTTTGCCCTTGGTGGTTACTTTTGCGAGAGTACGACACCTTTTGGCTTTGCTTGCATTGAGGTACGGTTTTGGTCAGAAGTAATGTCCCTCGATTATCTCAAGTGTGGCACATAATTAAGATTCCAGATCTCCTGTGAGATTTGAGCTTCTTTTCAACATGAGGAAAATGCCTAAGATTGAAATGAAATTGAACTAAATCACGGAGAAAGTGACACATTGGTACTTTTTCTACAGTTGCGGTGTCTAAGAGAGGACATTACTTCTGACCACGACTGTACATCAACTAAATTTCCGGGCTGTCACAATCTTAATAATAACGATCATTATTAAACAAACTTCTGATGTTCTGATTCTCCTAGTCTCGGCAACGTCCACTAGAGTAGATAAGCCAGTTATGTCTTTCGGGCCATGAAACGCTCGGCGAAATTGACCTCTCTAAAGCTCCATTGCAGAAAATGCGGTTCGGTCCTCTTTCTTTACAATTTCGAGTGTGGGCTAGCTTTGCTCTGGTCAATAGTCAACAAACCCCTGTATATTGTGGCTAAACTGGTCTCGGTACCTTCCAGTACAGTATCGACACGAGCCAGGACCATGAAACGCTCCGTTTGCCAGATGTCTTCCGTACAGAGAAAAAAGGAACTCACAGCAGATAAACACTACAGTTAGTTATTTATTAAAAATCACACTTAAGTACCTGATACAATTAAGGAACCTACTAAGCACCATCGATCCTATAACGACATTGATCTATAATTACCTATATTTTGTATCAAAAAATTACACAATAATGACAACCGTATTTTACTTGCGGCGGCGTCACGATTAAAGCTATTGAAAATGGAAAAACCCCACCGCAAAAAGACCTAACGTGTTTTATTTCCTTCTCTTTATTGTAGAGAGATACAATCGAATTAAAGCGCACGTGTGGAAGTTGGGTCGGTTCGACCGACCCGTATTTTCGAATCAGCCTTTGGAATGAACCTCCCTTATTGTCAATACACTAACCTTATAATACTCACTCGAGAGGGCGCTGAAGTTATCAGTGACTGAGAGGCTACTTAAAATTCTAAAGTAAAGTAAAACTCAGCTATTTTCAAAGCTATTCATTTCTAAATTTGCGACGTGACCTTTTCCGTTTGCCACGGTCGGTCGGAACTGCAGCTCGGCCGGGCACAGGTTCAGGTTGATTCTCTCGGGCGTGGTCGGCGAGTTGCTGTCGAAGCTGTGGTAGAAGTCGCTCTCGCTGTCATTGCTGGCGCTGTGCGCCGGCGACGACTCGTTCGACTTCTTCAGGAGCTCGAGGTTAATGTTGTGGACGCCGACCTTTGAGTTCTTGTTGTAGAGGCAGTTCAGGACGTGGTTCTTGTCGAATTTGTTCTCCTTTTCGACGACGATCTCGGCGGTGCAGTGCGTGACGGGGGTCAGCGGGCTCGCGGCCGATTTAAATTCCGACGTGAGCACCGGCCACTTGGCGTCCGCCTGTAGGTCGCGTTCCGTCGCGAGGTACTTCCGCTTGGACTTGTAAACGTCGTGGAACTTAAAGCGCAACTTCTTGAAGAAGACGAAGTCGATTACGAATATCTCGACGAAAATGCTGATCACAAAGTTTAGACCGGCGTAGAGAATTAAGTACATCCGAAACGTGAAATCCTCGGGCACGATCAGCTCGAACCAGCTCGTTAAGTACGTCGCCGGCCACAGCGCCATGTAAATTGAGAAGGCGGTGAGCGCGATTGCCGAAACGATCAGGCCGTAGTTCGAGCACACGCTCTGCCTGTACGGCTTGCCCTTACTGAACACGATCGCCAGAATAATGTACTGAAAACTCGACAACGTGTAAATCGTGTAGTTCTCAACGCACGCGACCGAATCCTTCTCGTCCTTAAGGCTCGAGTTAAACGGCACGAACCACTCCTGCGTCTTCAAGTGTTCAAACGACGCGACTTGGAACGCGACGGTTAACGAAAGGTGAATAAGTAACGATAATACGGGACTAACACTAATTAAACTACTTAGCGGCGTCTCCTTGACCAGCTTACCGGAGTACGCCTCGGTTCGGCCGAAGAAAAACGCGAAAATCGATATGATAAATAGATCTATGTATAGGTACTGCATGTCGGTCAAATTCGAATCGATACTGTAGAGTATCATCACCGAAATGAACTGACAGAGGCTGTACGACGCCATGTACTTAAAAATGCCGAAGCTCGTCACGAGGGCGGCGCGTCCCTCCTTGATTATGTCGAGGACCGCGGTGATGTTCGCGTTCTTCGAGGTGAACGGGCTGGCGACCGAGGATTCGGCCTCGGACAGCGAGATTCCCACGTGGGCCGCCTTGAGGGCGCCGCAATCGTTCGCTCCGTCGCCGCACATCGCTGTAACACAATGGCTCGTTAAGACTCCGCCAATGGGAGCGTTTGAAGCGAAAGCGAGATCGGGAAAGGAAGTGAGGTTAGGGGTGACGGTATGAACACACAGAAAACCGGAAGCGGGTGCACTCGCCGTAAATGATCCTAAGAACCGAAGAGAAGTAAAGAACGACGTACTTAAAAGATGCGGAGGATTATTCCTACTTGCACAGGTATAGGGTTTTCCAATTGGATAAATTCAAAACAATCAACTTCAAAAACAATTTCTTATGAGCGCATAGAACGCCAATTATGCGCCACTAAACAATTTTTATGCGCGATTAGTATCAGTACCAAAGATTTCGTCCACTACATCAAAACATTCTTAAGGTCGCATAAAAGGCTAATTAAGCGCTGCTACCTAAAAAAGTCTCATGGTCGCATAAATCGCTAATTAAGCGCTGCTAAACAATTTTTATGCGCGATTGGTCTCAGTACCGAAGATTTCGTCCATTTAATTAAAAAATTCTTAAGGTCGCATAAAAGGCTAATTAAGCGCTGCTATCTAAAAAATTCACAGTCGCAGAAAACGCTAATTAAGCGCTGCTAAACAATTTTTAAGCGCGAATGGTATCAGTAGCGAAGATTTCGTCATCTTAATTAAAGATTCTTAAGGTCGCATAAAAGGCTAATTAAATGCTGCCACCTAAAAAATTCTCATGGTCGCATAAAACGCTAATTATGCGCTGCTAAACAATTTTTAAGCGCGATTAGCAAAGATTTCTTCCACTCGACTAAAAAATTCTCATGGTCGCAGAAAACGCTAATTACGCGCTGCTAAACAATTTTTAAGCGCGAATGGTCTCAGTAGCAGAGATTTCGTCCACTTGACTTACAACGATAATTAAGCGCTGCTAAATAATGTGTATGCGCGATTGTTATCAGTTGTAAAAATTTGTCCACTTGACTAAAAAAGTCTCATGGTCGCAGAAAACGCTAATTAAGCGCTGCTAAACAATTTTTAAGCGCGAATGGTCTCAGTAGCACAGATTTCGTAAACTTGACTTACAACGGTAATTAAGCGCTGCTAAATAATGTTTATGAGCGATTGTTATCAGTTGTAAAAATTCGTCCACTTGACTAAAAAAGTCTCATGGTCGCAGAAAACGCTAATTAAGCGCTGCTAAACAATTTTTATGCGCGATTGGTCTCAGTACCGAAGATTTCGTCCATTTAATTAAAAAATTCTTAAGGTCGCATAAAAGGCTAATTAAGCGCTGCTATCTAAAAAATTCACAGTCGCAGAAAACGCTAATTAAGAGCTGCTAATCAATTTTTATGCGTGAATGGTATCAGTAGTGAAGATTTCGTCATCTTAATTAAAAATTCTTAAGGTCGCAAAAAAGGCTAATTAAGCGCGGCTATCTAAAAAATTCACAGGGCCGCAAAAAAAGCTAATTAAGCGCTGCTAAACAATTTTTAAGTGCGAATGGTATCAGTAGCGAAAATTTCGTCATCTTAATTAAAAATTCTTAAGGTCGCAAAAAAGGCAAATTAAGCGCTGCTACCTAAAAAAGTCTCATGGTCGCATAAACCGCTAATTATGCACTGCTAAACAATTTTTAAACACAAATAGTATCAGTAGTAAAGATTTCGTCCACTTAATTAAAAAATTCTTAAAGTCCCTTAAAGGCTAAGTAAGCGCTGCTACCTAAAAGAGTCTCATAGTCGCATAAAACCCTAATTAAGCGCTGCAAAACAATTTTTAAGCGCGAATGGTATCAGTACCAAAAATTTCGTCCACTTAATTAAAAAGTTCTTAAGGTCGCCTAATAGGATAATTAAGCGCTGCTACCTAAAAGTCTTATGGTCGCAGAAAACGCTAATTAAGCGCTGCAAAACAATTTTTAAGCGCGAATGGTATCAGTACCAAAGATTTCGTCCACTTAATTCACAAATTCTTAGGGTCGCATAAAAGGTTAATTAAGCGCTGCTACCTAAAAGTGTCTTGGCCGCATAAAACGCTAATTATGCGCTGCTAAACAATTTTTATGCGCGAATGGTATCAATAGCGAAGATTTCGTCATCTTAATTAAACATTCTTAAGGTCGCATAAAAGGCTAATTAAGCGCTGCTACCTAAAAAGTTTCTTGGTCGCATAAAACGCTAATTAAGCGCTGCTAAACAATTTTTAAGCGCGAAAGGTACCAGTACCAAAGATTTCGTCCACTTAATTAAAAAATTCTTATGGTCGCTTAAAGGCTAATTAAGCGCTACCTAAAACAGTCTCATGGTCGCATAAACCGCTAATTAAGCGCTGCTAAACAATTTTTAAGCGCGAAAGGTACCAGTACCAAAGATTTCGTCCACTTAATTAAAAAATTCTTATGGTCGCTTAAAGGCTAATTAAGCGCTACCTAAAACAGTCTCATGGTCGCATAAACCGCTAATTAAGCGCTGCTAAACAATTTTTAAGCGCGAAAGGTACCAGTACCAAAGATTTCGTCCAC